CACACACACACACACACACACACACACACACACACACACACACACACTTCCTCTATGAAACAAAATGGAACTGCATACAAAAAACTAAAGTAATTCTCTTATCATCTGCATCAGTCACCCAGTTAAAGATGGAGTCTGGGAGGATATGGACCCAACAACAGTTACCCGTGGACAGTTCACTTCAGTGACTCCTGAGTGGAATGAACCTGACTTCAACACACCTCAATGCTCTCTGGATGTGTTCCAGCTGACAAACAAGGGCGCATGCACGCTCTTGCCATTAGAGGTGGGGTCTGACCAATCTTTTATGTTACTCACTTTCAATCCACAGGATTTACTTACTTCTGGAATACATTTTTCTTTTTCTTTTTTTTTTTTTTTTGCATATGAAAGGTACTGGACAGACTCTAGGGGCAAAGATGTATTTGGCCAAATAGCGTACTTTCCTCCTCTGGATTCCTACATGTTTGTTTATTACAGAGGCTACCATGGTTCAGGGTGAGCTCAAGGACCTGACTGTTCCCCACAGGTATCCGGGATAATCTTTGCCGATGTAGCTGATATTACCACTAGTGAGATACTAGTGAGCAGGGAGCAGGGGACTGGAGGAGCACTGTGAAAAGAGCCTTCGCCAGACCTCTACCCAAGCAAGAGGAGAACTGCTGGACACTGTCTGCAGAGGCAGACAATGATGTTCTAAGGAGATGGACACAGCTGACAGAGGCTTGCTGCTCCAGACCCACAAGCAGAAAGCTGATGCCCTAGGCCTGCCGAGCAAGAAGCCCGAGAGTACAGTGTGTGTGTGTGTGGGGGGGGGGGAGATGCAGGCACTTCTCTGTCCTGTTCTAACAGTATCAGTGCCTTTCTTTCAAAGCAAAGTGAGTGAGCTGGCTTCTGAATTCTGAGCCACTGCCTCCTGGCAGGGGATGCACCGGGACTAACTGCAAACCCGAAGGCACGTCTGTCTTCCCCACATGCTACCCTGTAAGGAGCCACTGCCGTCGTTCTGGTGCTATGGCAAAGTGAAATTATTCAAAACTAATGAACACTGGTTGTTGCGCAGTATAAGTCAACCGCTGCAAGGCGTGAACATACAGAGGTGAGAAAACTGCTTCTAGGAGCTTCCGGTGTAATGGCACTGACATTTATGTTAATAAACCGCCAGTGTGGTGATGGCAGTGTGAACCCTCTGGGGGTTCCCCAGGCAGAATGGAACCCAGCTCGGTCACAGCAGGTCCCCACAGGAGAAGACAGACTCTCAGCAGTCTAGAAAGCTAAGGGGAAGCAGAGAGATGAAGGTGTAGGAGCCACAGGAGAGAACTCAGGCCAGAAGGGAGGAATGGAGGAACAGCACTGAGGAGCAAGGGCTCTGGTCAGCATGGTCTACAGTGTCATTCTGGGAATCCTGGGTATTTCCTTCAGAGGTGATGGGTGTAAGAGCATAGTCCAACAGAAGTGTGCATTTCGTCTGAAGTTCTTTGCATATTTAGGAAGCAAACCGAGGGAGGACATGGCAGACAGAACAAGCCATAGGTAGGCTGCTATAATGAGATACGAGGGATACACCACGCAGTGACAGCAGGCGTGAAAGGAATGGGCAGAGACAGTTCAGAAGAAAAGTCAAGGACTTGAATGGGAGAGGCAAAGGATAGAGCTGGCCAGGGGAAGCCAGGTCTGGGTTTCTCACTTAGGTGTCTGATTCTACTGAGGAGGGAGGGCAACAGGTTTAGTTTTGGAGACAGTGGACACGCGGAGACTGAGACTCAATAGAGAAGCTAAGAAGAGATGAATGACTGAAACCCATTGGAAGCAGGGACCAGACTCTCAAGAGTGTATAAGTCTATCAGAATTGTTGGTCACAAATGTAATACAGGGGGGAAAGGGAGTGTCCGGGTCAAGGATGACGGGGCACAGAAGGTATCAGCCACGAGCTAGTGTTCCCTTACACACCCCTCCCCTTTAAAAAGACATGCTATAGCTCTAACTTCTGGCAGCCCAGATTGTGACCTATTACAGTCAAAACCTTAAGTAAGGTTACTTACTTAAGTAAAAAAAAAAAAAAAAAAAAAAAAAAACAAAAAAACCCCGACATCACTAGGGTGGGCCATTAATCCATCGTGGCTGGCATTCTCACAAAGGGAAGGTGATGAGAAGACACATGGGAAGTGGACAGCCAACTGCAAGCCAAAGAGATCTTTGGAACAGACCCTTTCCTCATAGTCCGTAGAAGGATTCCGGCTTGGAATTCCCTATTCCTCCAGGAATTCCAGTATTCCTCCAAGCTTGCCCTTCTGGCCCCCAGGATGGTGAGTCACTCCCCTACTGTTGGTGCTATTTTGTCACAGTTACCCTAGCAAACAGAATGCTTGCCCAAAGGAATTTAAGCTGCATCGCAGGAGAAGATAACAAACTGGTAAGAACTGAGGCATGACGGGAACTAAGACTGCCCTTTTAAGGGTGTCTCAAGAAAATGCAGACAGGGACTTCACTTCAAGATCACAAAGACCAAGACTATTTCAAACACAAATAGGTACCTTCTTCTGGAAAAAAAGAAAAAAATCTTGGCATAAAGTAGTTTACACTCCTGTTCACTAAAATCTGTGGTTAAAAAAAAAAAGTCCATTATAGATATACTCACAACTTTTTGTTTCTAATTGTGACAGTTTTGTCAATGTGACACAATCTACAATTAATTACCTGGGGGAAAGTCCCAATGGCTTTGAGCATGCCTGGAGGACTGTCCAGTTAAGTCACCTGATACATAAGACCTAGCCCACTGTGCATGGCACCATTTTCTCGACAAAGGGTTCTAAACTATATAAGAACAGAGAAATCAAGGCAAGTACAAACAAATGGACACAAGCTCATCCATTCTCTCCCTGCCCTTGACAGCGGATGCAAGTTCCTGCCACGTGAGCTTCCTATGCTGATAAGAGTGTATCCCTGATTATTGAGCTCAAATAAACGGGTAGGTGAAGGGGAGAAAGGCAGATGCTGGGGAGCCTGAGGAACTGCAGGAAATATCAGTGGCAGTGTGGAGAGTCTGGCTAATCTTTGTGGTGGCACAGAGGAAGTTATAATGGTCTACTCGGACTATTCCGGTCTTAGTGTTCATCTAGCCGGCAAAAGCAACAGTGAGTGCACCAGAAAACCGAGGCTGCCCCTGAAGAAAGCACTGCAGACAGCCCAGATTTTGTAGACAGGAAACAGATGAAGAAAGCAATTCTCAACAGTAACAGGAGGAGTCCCTCGTACTTCAGATCAGAAGTTCGGGTGTTATCTTGGCATAAAGTGCTCCTGAGGTGTGGCTCTGATTAATGACAACTTAGGCAGAATGACACAGGGAAGAGACCGAAGCTGAGTGTACACAGAGGCCACAGGAGCTGAGGTCCAGGCACTCTGAAGACAAAGATGTTGAGCTCTCACTGCTATGTGTGGTCGTGGGGAAGATCAATTCTACGATGCTTTTGCATGTCGGCTCCTTACTACTTCAGGTGACACTCCAGCTCTTCGTGGTCCCTACACGTGTGAATCTTATTTGCCAATACAAACAAGTGAGTTTTTAAAGAGTAAGGTGAGAGGTTTTGGGTCTTAAGAGCCATTGTGTGCTAAAGTTACAGACAGGTGATATAAGATGGTTGATAAAACTTTGGGTAAACAACATACCAGATACTCCTGGAGGGGTCTTAATGAACTTTCCGTTAAAATGACCGATTACAGCTTCGCATTTTTCTGTTGATTCCATCCTAGTCATAAAAAAAAAATAATCATAAATTGTACATTCACAGCAGTTAGGAGACTTACAATTAGGTTTAAGATGCAAATGAAACCTAGCAGAAAACCACAGATAAAATAAACAAAAAAAGGGCTTAAGCTATTGCTTTGGCATCTCTACAGTAAAATAACTGAATCCAGAGGACAGTCTGATTTATAAAGACAGAATAAATTCTATGCAGAGTATCTCATAGCAGTCACATCAAATTTCTAATTGTTGGAAATTAAAAATTAACTCATAGTACTTAGTCACGATTTTGCATTAAAAACATTTTAGAATTTTTGTTTTAAAGATGGTCTTTTATAAATTCACAAAATTATAAGACAAGAATCGTGGTAATAGCTGGTGTCAATCAGATGATGTGCCTTATGTGTTTTTAACGTTTGCTCTGGGGTTAAAATTAAATTAGTGAACTTAATTATGTACTTTGCCATCTTAACTTTGAAGGTGGAAGAAAAAGCTGGAGCCTAATTTTACATGTACGGGTGACTAAAAACATTTAAGAAGCAGTTCTAGGGACATAATTACTTTGACTTGCTTTTCTTCAATGGAAGCATTCAATCATCTACTCAGAATGCCCCATACTCCTGCCCACTCAGCCACGCCTTAGTTTTATCTGGCAGTGACAGGTGTTAAAAAAACAACAGGATGCCACTGGACTCTGTGGGGTGATACACTTATCTGTGCTCAGAAGTATACCACAGAGGGACGGCGTGAGGCTAAACCATCAAATGTCTTCTCTGGACCACCAAATGTCTTGCTTGGAGCCTTTTCACCAATGAATGAATAAGTGTGTGCTAGAAAGGTATTTGGTTTTATTCTAGACAAGTGACTAAAAGCCAATAGAACCCAGTTGCAGCGCTTGCCTTTATAACTTAATGGCGAGGCAACAATAAGGTCCCTCAGTAATGAATGCTTTGTTGAAATCACAAGTTTGCATTAAGATGCAACTGTCATTTGTATAGCTAAGTGTCAGCATTTTCCCATCCAAACATCAGTTAATAATTTAATGCTTGCTGATACTATCTGTCAGTGCCCCACTGCTAAAACATTCTTATGTAATCCACTGTAAAATCAGCTTTTGTGTGGGGGCTGTAGGATTATAAATCTGCCACAAATCAAAGCTTTTTCAGTTTAATTTAATTCCCTAGAAACCAATTCAGCCACTAAAGTATCTTTTCTAGAAAGGAGGGGATAAAGATTCCATAGGAATGGCAAGGGTGCTCCAGGTATACCTAGAACAATCATTAAAAAACAAACCCGAAGAATCATAAACTGTTAACAGCGGCTAAGTTGATGACGTGGTTGGTATTATTTTCCCTTTTCTTTCCTGAGAGTTAAGAGATACTCAGTTTAAAAACCTAGCTAGAATCTGTTATTATGAATCAAATTTCTGTGACAAAAAGATACTGATTTACCTATGAACTGTTCACTTGTGGGAACTGACAAACATCTTGGAGTAATGAATCAAACTCTCTCAGGACCATGTGTCCAGGGTCACTGTTCTTGGGATAATTCAGGCCACGAGCTATCGGGGTACTTAAGAGTGCCTGGTTTGGGGAGCACAAAACTTCCCCCCAAAAAAAACTTGTATGTAAAGGCACACGCATTTTTAAGTCCACAGTACAACTGGATCCCATGACCCTGGCCATTTTCACCTTCTAAGTGACTCAGCACACCTACTACAATTAATAAGGAAAGGCAGCATCCTCACCTGGCAAAGCCAACACCACGGCTGGTCCCACTGGAATCACGGAGGACCCTTGTGGAAATAACCTGTCCGAAGGGCTTGAGCATATTTTCAAGTTCTTGCTCATCCATGGACAGCGGCAGGTTAGAGATGTACAGGTTGGTAGGATCTTGTTCCTGTTGCTAAGGCAGAACAGAGAGCCATCTATCACTTTCCAACACAAGACAGGTGTTCACGATAGCACCGTTTTCTTCAGCCAGCGGCTCTCCAAGTCCTGCAAGCACTACATAGTGAGGTGGGGCCTGTACGAACAAGCAAGTCACCCCGGACACTTGGAACTTGGGTCTGAATCTTGAACAACCTGCCCAGGCCAGACATGGTCCCCGATGCCATCCTCAGCAGATGTGGAAGCGACATTATTGGTCTGTACGAGTTGGGGAGGATGCTCTCACGAATCGACTCCCAGCAGTGGGCAGTGATTCCAAAATTAACCAGCTACTGCTGTCTTCAGAAGTCCATTTCGGGCTCATCGTTACACAGAAGGCTATTACTGCGAATTATTCAACTTAGCGATCAGGGAAGGAAGATTCTAGACCAACCGCGTGGAATCCAGTGAAGGCTGGGTACCACTTCCCTCCACTTCCCTACGGCAGAATCCACACTACTTTACTTTTTCTTTGCTTCTTTTTTTTGATACATAGCCTCGATACACCACAATCCCCAGCTTTCTGAGTGTCAGGATTAGAGATGTCTACACCACCGTACTTGGCTCCATTCTTTTGTGTTTTGTTTTTCAGACAGAGTTTCTCTGTGTAGCCCTGGCTGTCCTGGAATTCACTCTGTAGACCAGACTGGCCTCGAACTCACGAGATCCTGCCTGACTCTGCTTCCAGAGTGCTGGGAGTAGAGGTGTGTGCAACCACCCCCGGGCTACTAGTCTACTTCAAATAGAGGTCAACCAGAGAGAGAAAGACAGCTTCTAACTCCAACCAGAAACTGTAAGCCACAGCAAAGGGTAGAGCAAATCTCAGGTTTGAGAACAGACAGGGAAGGAATGTTGGGTCAATCTTTGTCCCACAAAGGGTGATCTGTCACGTGCCCACAGGTCACCAGGCTGTGCCTGCCAGGTACTGGGTGAGAAATGTAGAACTTCACACCCATGGGGCACCTGCAGAAGCTTCGTTTTAACAAGATGCTCGGCCCGATTAACACGCCCATCAAGTCTGACACTGGCATCAGGTCATTTTACACTCAGCTTTCTTTCGTTACAGGGTCTCAGCTGGAATCAGACACATGACTGTACTTTCTGATGAGCAGTGACCACAGCGAGTGCATATGAAGAGCATGTCATGCAAGTCCCCGGGAAAGCCTACCTGACGAGAACATTTCCTAAGTCAAAATTCACCTGTGCGCCTGGGGTTGGCACACCCTTCCCTTCAGCTTTTCCTTTGATCTTACATTTCCCTTGCTGCTAGTTGCGAAGATGAACCCAGAGCCTTGAGCTTTCCAGGCAAGTGTCCTAGCACAGAACAGTATCTCCAGTCCTCCAATTTTATCTTTACACATTAAGGCATGAGTTGACATCTCTTTAATAAGAACTATTGGTAAAGTCATTAATTGATGTCTTAGCCTTTGGCAACAGAATAATATCCTCATTATGGCTCCCTCGATTTCTGAAGTACACAGTGTCCTAAAGATATATGTGACACAGTATGCCTGTTTGCATTTTTACAGTCTTTCTAATATATCCTAGCATTAATTAAACCTGAAATGAAAATTTTCCCTTTCATATAATTCTCAACAAGCACTGACCCTTTGTGCTCTATCTTAAGTCGTTTTAAGACTTAAGATAACCTGGAGCTGAGGTTCAGCTCACTGTTGGAGCTCTTGCCCGGAATGAGCATTGATCTCGGGTACCACACATGACTGAAGAAATGGATGGATAAACAAATGAAGTAATTCAGTTTTCCACAGCATGACTTATGTCCCAGTGTTTTCAAGAATTAAAGTTAACAAAGACAGAAGTATGGACAACAAATACTAACCTGGCTTAGAACTTCCTGGCTCAGATATGAAAAAAGACAATGTATATATACCCTGGCCAAAGGTATAGAGGACTGGCTTGGAGCCCAGATGTACCTGAACCCAGGTTCTTAAAGTATGTTATGCGCAGGTCCAATAAAAAATGAGAACATTCAAGATGCTCAACAGTAACTAATTCACAAGCTAATCAAAACAGCACCTATCTTTGCATTAGCCGAGATTAGAACATCTTATGGTACCACCAGTTAACTTGATGATGAGCAAAGCATCTTACTGTCAGTTAGATAAATTATATCTTTAATGCTGAAAACATGCCATGTTATTTGACAGATGTAGGCAATAACGCATGCAGTGTTTCAAAAATACAAGGACCATTAATAAAGTTGGCTTCAGGTGTTAGGGTTTTCAAACTACGGAGTGAGGTAAAAGGGGAAGCCCTACCCTGCATTTCCACCTCAATTGCTGCCTCTACTAACCATACCCAACAAATCGCACATTTCCGCCATGAGCCGTCTCTTTTTGGACCCAACCTCCCAAATCTCTGAAGCTTTGTTACTTGTGGAAACTTACACAAGCCAGGTTACCACTCCTTGAAAATAGCTTCATAGAAAAAGGGCTTTTCCAATGCATCCCGTGCGTCCCAGACTCTCACGACAAAGCACCCATGACCCAAGTCCCATTTTCTAGCAGCTTTCAGATCAGATCAATAGAGGTGAGCAAAAACGCTTGCTATGCAAACCACAGTGGGAGGACGGATGGAGGCTCTCATTAAGGATGAGAGAATAACTGTGTAGAGAGAACACGGGGCATTGAGAACAAGCTAAAGTCAAGACACCGAACCAGACTTCAAAGTGCTCCCTATCAAGTCTGGCCCTATTTTATCAGCTGTGTTAAGCGTTTCTTTTGCACTCCAGGAATGCTAACATTGAAGAAAGTGACCACATACCCTTGCCCCGGCACTGAGCTGTAAGCTGAAGGGCTACAGTGTGAGTTCTGGGCTGGCCTAGACTACAGTGTGAGACCCTATCTCAGCATCCCCACCCCACAACAGGGGTGTCTACAACAATCTGACTTTTGAAAGACAAGCTTTGTAACCTGATCCCACTACGTGGCTGTCAAGGGCCCTCAGCACCATGTTTAGAGATGTCTCCTTCCTCAGAGGTGGACTGGGACAGAATAGAGGAGGGACTGTCACCTTTGCCACACCCTGCAAAAGAGGAAGGCTTCTGAGGCATCAAAGTAGGGTAGGGACATAATTAAGATTCCTAAATCACGCTTAGTTCCATAGTGACACAGGAACCAGCTAATTAAAGGTCATGAAAATACTTTTTAGACAGACATATGCTGTCATGACCTAAGTGTGTTACTAAGAAGTGCACACTAAAATCCTTCCAACTTTCGAAATCATGTCATGAAGATTTCAATAACATATTCAAGCACGCTCACAGAATATTACACATTCAAGTATTTTAAAAAAGGGAGCTGACAAGGTAGATATGAATACTTTCTAATATACATTTTAGTTGCTTCTGGGATAAATAGTAATGGAAGAATTACACACTTTATAGATAGTTTTAATTTAACTTGAAGGTTTACCAATGGGAGAAAAAAAAAATCCCCAAACATAAACTTAAAACACCAAAGAATGGGATGAAACTCCAGGCTGGTTGCACAAGCCACACCCCCCTCCCCCCAATCAAATCCTCTAAATGGCCATGAAGTCTCATTACTGCATATATTCATGGGAAATGGGACATAAAGCATTTATAGTAATTGGTGGTGTTTTCAATGAAGATTAATTTAGTCTCTTTAAAATCAGTCACAACCCTAACTGTTTCATTATGTCTAAATAATAAATTACTGTGTCTGAAAAAGTTATTTTGTCAATTATAGGTAGCCAGGAACAGTGGGTGCAATGGGCCTCTTTATGTCCCTCGGCAGAGATGGGGCTCAGGAGCTTTTCTACCACATGGCAGAGAGGTCCCCACATTGGCTCTGAGAGGGCTAAATGGCACTAATGCTCACTTGAGTAGAAAAGCCAGGCTTGGAGGTCTCGCATGGTGTAAAGCACTCAGTCACCATCTGAAAGAAATTAACAAAACCCTCCCTGTGCTTGTGGAATGGTTCCTAAAATGCAAGAAAGGGACTTGGCAGAAGGAACAGACATCTGTTTTCTCTTGTACTGAATAGGTTCACCCACCAGCAGATCGCCGCTGACGGTGGGTGACTGCCGACTGCTCAGAGCAGGGTAGGCCTCTGGCTAAGGGGAACTGATTTCCTGCTCATTTGCCTGCTTATTTGTTGAAAAAGTGTGCAGGCTTACCACCCGTGAGGGTCTGCTGACCCCCAGGCAGCTTCAGGAGGTGACAAAGAAAGGCCTATAGAACTCTATCTCGGATTATCCGCAGAGTTCATGCCTTACACCTTTTCAGCCAGTTGTCTGTGTTTCTTTTAATAGAATCTGATTTTTTTTTTTTTTCTTTTGGAGGCAGGTCTCACATCTGTACAGGCCAGGCTAGGCTGGAACATACTGTGCAGCTCAGGCTGACCTCAAACTCACAGTAATTCTCCTGCCTCAAACTCCCACGTTGCTGGGGTATAGGCATGCGGTATCACACCTGGCTTAGAACCCGAGTCCTTTATTTGAGAAGAAGACGCACATTTAAAACATTTGTTATGCTTCACATACACAGGCTTTCCAAGGGGTCCAAGGCCTTTTCTGTTTGTTATGTTTAGTCAAGGTACTGCTCCATGGACATAATTTCCAAGCATCCCTTTCTGGATTCCCAGTGTCTAGTCAACCTTGGAACAAAGACCTTCCCTTAATTAGTTGCTATTTTTAATCAGTAAAGCAAACGTTTCATGCCCACCACATGGCAAGTACCGAGAAAGGCTGTGGATATCAGAGCACGAGTGGAGAGGCTTAGTGTTCTCAGTTCACAGTTTTGAAATTCGGTTTTAAGTATCTGTAGGCACAGACCTCAGCCCAGGTACCTGGTACGTCCCCACCTTCCCTTCCTTTCCCTTTCGATATTTCAGACTACACAAGAGGAAAAGAATTGAATCTGTGGGTCTCGAATACATTGCAGCATCCAGATTCACTCACAAGAACAAAGCAGACAGTGACTGGTTCCTTATAACACAACCACATAAGACAGACTTTTCATAAACTTCCTTTATGAAAATCCTCTCCCCAAAAGAAGGACATTGGGTAATCCTTGAGTGCACCAGCATAAGAGGATTAAGTCCAGATACTCAAACCCACAAATTTATCAACAAGGTATCTGCTGGCATTTAAAACGTAATTTGTAGCTTTAAAGATAAAATGAAAGAGAAAACCAGGTCCTCCGGCACACAGCCACCATCCCTGCACCTACGTACTGGTCCTCCCCACAGGAGATGGAGAATCATGTCCCCTACGCAGCTTGCAGAATGAAGCCGTGACGTCCCTGAGTGGGGCTTGTTCTTAACCCTCATGGATGCTTGTCTTCTGAGTGCATCACTGATAGGACCTACAGCGTGAACCTACACCCAACCCTGTTTTGAGTAAACACACTGTGAAGATTTCTTCCAAACAGAGTCTAATATACTATGCTCCTTCGTATTACAGGGCTTGAATGGTACATAGGGAAGAACCCTATAAAGGTCTCTGTACTTCTCAATAGGTTCATAATAAACAGGCTTCTTTCTAACTCAGTTTTGACAATGGGTGTTGGTGCTCCCAGGATGCATGTGGAGAAACCAGACAACCCAAAGAAAGACTGCAAGAATTTGGCAGTTAATTGGATTAGGATGGACGGCTGACCACACAGCGCTTATCTGCCTAGAAGAGACACAGAGGCCGAGAACGACCCTCATGTAGAGAGAAAGGCAGCCATGTTCTGGGCCTCCACGTGTGGTCGGCTACCCTCTCATTACCAGCTGAGCGACAGCGCTGTCAGCAGACCTGACACAAAGCTTGATTTGTATCCCACCAGCTTGCTGTATACAATGGGTCTATGTTGTGACTCAAAAGCTGAACAACAGAAAAGGAGAAAGCTGATCGAAAGGGCCCACCAGAAGGGCTGGGAAGTAAATTACTCTCTTACTGACTGTTGGCAAAGGTAGATGGGAGGTAGGACTCCCTGCAAAGTGGCTCGGTAATACACTGAATAATCCTAGCACTCAGGAGGCAGATGTGGCAGAATTCTGGACTCAAAACCACCTTGGGCTATGGGGTAAGATCTCTCAAAAATCCAAAAGAAGTGACCACACAGAGCGGTTCCAGAGTGAGTTAGAGTTCTCTAGGAAGGCTGTCTATGAGGCAGGGAGACATAGTTCATCAGTACGGCTGAAGGCTAGCGTCGGGGAAGGGTGGTAGGTTGGGGAGAGAGCTTAGAAAAAACTCCCAGAGTGCTTTATGAGAAAGAACATCAGTGTATTGCCCAGGGGAGAAGTAAACACCAGATTATCACATCACTGTTAGGCCAACAAACCTTCCCATCCTTTGCTACTGCTTCAACTCTGAAGGGGTTAGGAAACACAGCTAGGGAGCTGAGAAAGACTGGGTGGAAACACATGCTGCAAACATGCCAATGGAGCGCACTTGACTCGGGGGAAGAGAAACTTCACCACTGTCACCCGACATTCAGAGTTACTGTGAAATATGACTGTATATTTAAATTAGAAGTACTACACACCATACATTACCAATCTCTTCTTGAAAACTGTCTAGCTTCAAAATGTTAATCAAATGTTAAAACATTTTGCATTATTTTAGCTAAGGAAAAAATTATAATACACTATATATAATATATATAAAACATATATATACACTATATATATATAGTGTATTATATACTATATGCTATATATATAATAGTAGTCACAACCCCAAGAAACCTTCTCAAATGAAATTAGATTTCGCTACAACGTAACTAAGCTCATTCATCATATGTGGCCTATATAGGCACATAATAAATGACTGTTGGGATGGAAACCTTCAGATGATGATCAAACCTTCTAGATGATCAAAGAGTCAATACAGTTACCAGCAAAAAAGTACAATGTTGGCTGCGATGGCCTCCTTGGAACCAACAATAGCCAGTGTGAAACCTCTATATATGACCCTGCATTCTACACGTTGCTTCTGAAGCACAATGGTCTCCCCAAAAGACTCTTACTTAAACCGCACGTCTAATGGGGTTGGACAACATGGATGCACACAGGAATGGTTGTAAACGGACTGAAGGAGATGTTACAGTTCGTGGCTTTTAGATGTGAAAAAAAAAAAAAAAAAAAAACAAGAGACGGGCCTTTCCGAAATGGGAGTAGCTGCAGGAGCCATTGGAACACTCCCGAATGCTATCCAGGGAGAAAGGAGGAGCTGCTCGGAGGGAGTTAGGATGCACAGAGTGAAGGAGGTGCTGCTCATCACAGTCTAGTCACACCCACGCTGCAGGGCGGGAGAAAACATGCTACAGTAGGAAAGCAGTGCAGGCTCCCTGGGTCCACTAGGCACACGCACCGCTTTTCAACACCAACACTGGCCACTGATCACAGGGTGGCCAGTCATCTGGAAACCAGGGTGCCTTCTATTTCCCGTTTCTGTTTGTCTTACCTTTTACTTGGAGGTGAAGAATACACAATGGCCAATGTGGTGCCAAGCTGTGAGGATTATGTGTGAAGCATTACTTTAGAAAAGCAATCTCCCTTTTATGAATCCCTAAAACTTTTACCTGTGCTGACTCTTGTCTTCAAAGTATCAGTGTGCTACTGCAGCTGTAGAGCTTCAAGCAGCTAATTTAGCTCTCAGGTTTTTGTAGGTGATCTATGTCTTCCTCATGGTCCTTGAACTCCCATGAGTCTTCATTCCTACACATGTGAATGTTCCTCAGGGAGTGATCATGTGCTACTATTCAGAAGTAGCCAAGGACAGTCCCCAATAATTTTCCTCTGCACTTCATAAAGCCCAGTAATAGAAAACTATTGCTCTTTTGAAAAGAAGACTTGAAATAGCATACAGCCAAATTTTAGGCTTGAAAATATTTGCCACAACAACTGATACAGAGGGGGAAAAAACCCCACTATTATCTTCACAAATGCACTATATTAGGTGCAAGCTTGCATTTGGTCTATAAAGACCAGGACATAAGTATTGGTTTAGATGATGTGACTCTGAGATGCTTTTAGTGCATAATGAAATTCGAGTTACTGAACACAACATGTAAGGGGCTTCAGGGATCAACTCGTTTCTGACTCTTCTTTTTAATAAAAATATGCTTACTTGAAAGCTATCTATGTTTGTAAACCCAGCAGTCAGGAAGTAGACAAAGAATCAGAGGTTCAAGGTCATCCTCAGCTACACAGGGAGTACACTGAAAGCAGGCTGGAGGTGAGCAACCCGTAGTCCCTTTAGCTTTAGAACCGTAACTACACTGGATCAATGGTTTTCACCATGCCAAACTCACCACACCAAGTTCATGAAATCACCCAAGGATGTTAGCATCTTATAAATCTGGATGTGTCTGCACACGCCCGCGACAGTGTGCTCACTGATATCAGAGGAGAAGTTGCAGGAGTTAGTCCTCCCCGTCTCCCATATTGGTTCCAGGGATTACACCCAGGCTGTCAGGCTTGGCAGTGAGGAAGTTTTTTTGGTTTGGCCATCTCATCACATTTATCCAGACTTTGATGATGAATTGGAGGTGAAACAAGACATAGACTCGTCATTTAATCCAGTCACATTTCTAAGTGATGACATCTTGGATTCTAGACAGGTTTTTTGGGGGGGGGGGTGTTTAGACAGGGCTTCTTTAGGTTTTTAACCTTGCTAGGAAACTAGCAAAAGAGAACACAGCTCAGAGAAAGCATTATGCCCTGCAGTAATTAAAATCCATGCATACTGTGCAAGAATGCTTATGAAGCGTGAACCATATGGTCTCCGTTTTATAGTCCTTGAGCACTTAGGCATATTCCTCACTTGGAGGATTATTTCAGCAATATTTCTCATCTAGAATGATCAATGTTCACCAGAAACAAGTCTTGAAGAAACTCCATATAAAATTACCAAAGGACAGACTCATATTACATAAATAATCAGCATGTAAAAGGCATCTCACTATTATACAGGTAAAAGAGCGTCTATGGCATTTATTCATAGCCAACCTCTCATTTGTATAAATCCAGGTGTGAGCCAGTTATATATCTCTTCAAAAGAGGACATTATGTTCACCTTCTGTCTTTAATTGTGTGTGTCTGAGTATGGAGGCCAGAGGTTTACATTAGATGCCCTTCTCAATAGCTCTCATTTTTTTTTTTTTTTTTTTTTTTGACAAGATCTCTCATTGAGCCTGGACCTCCTCCTATTCCCTGACCAGTGCAAAGCCTACTGAAGCACTCGCTCCTCAGGGCCTGGCTTGTTATATGCCTGCAAAGGATCTGAACTCAAGTCCTTCCGTTTGCATGGCAATCACTTCACCAATCAGCCATCCCCCAATTCCCTTATTAAATTAATCTCCTGTTTATCACACAAAGAAACGAGTTTCGCTGTGACATTTCTACACACACACACATACTATTTTGTTTTTATTTACACTACCGTGAGGAAGAACGCCTTTGTGTAACTGCTATTGCTGAGAACCCGAGTACATCCTCAGTTTTTGAAGGGATGGAGGGACAGCAACCTTCAGGGAGACACAGCGTCCACTCACCTTTGCCATCTGAGCCTGGACTCCACTAGCCTTCAGGGCGGAGACAGCTTTCTGGGCTGCTGCAGGGCTGTCAAAGTCAACAAAGCCATAACCTAAAATGCAAAAGACACTCTTCTTAAGGACACAAGTGTTAGAAGAAAAGAAAAACAAAACAAAACCACCCCAAGAACTTCATGTTGGTTCTGATACAGGCAACAGAAGCAGATGTGTCCTGTGGGCACACAGGTATCCATAGCCATGGTACCGTGGCTTCCTCAGGTCCTTCAAAGCATCACTTAAAAGCAGGTGTGTAGGGGTGGGGTTGAGGCGAGCGTAGATTTGAGCTTTGTCCTCTTAAAGGTCTTCTCAGGTATCAATAGGAAAAACCTGACACTTAAGTTGATAATCAGGGTGAAAAAGGAAAGGGGTGTTACGAGTGTTTTGAGACAAACTTTTAAAGGATACAACAAAAAGATGAAGCTATCTGACCGAGCTGTAAAGTGACAGAAACAAAAATTGTACATTCGATAGGCTATCTCTTAGATTTCCAAGTTAAAGTAAGTATAAATATTTGATACTCAAATAGCTTCTAGTTAAAAGTACTCATTTACCTAAAATAACAGTAGCTCCCTTCAAAATTCAGGCAAGAATGGAAATGCCTCCAGATACCTCAAATAGATATTGTAACCATGTCTGTATGAAGCTTAACGACATGCAACATAGAAAACATATAACTGCCTAAAAAAGGCTCTGTACAGAGCTCATTTACCTGTGGTTTCACAAACACTGTAAATGAACTTATCTTTTCTGTTTCCAGGCCACAATAAATCAAAACCGGAAATTAAGCGGTGGAGGGATGAGGTGGGTAGGACTGAAAAATATGTCCACAGATGCCAAAGATGCAGACTAGCGAGAAGGGCTGCCACAGTACAGAGCAAACAGCCACAGCCTTTGTAGGTCCATCAGAAGTCACTGCCTGAAAACAACCAGTTTCCACTGTAGTAACTCCAAGGACCACCTAAGGATACTTAGGACAATGTGAAGGACTAGCTAGGAGCCTGGCCCAAATACCAGCTTTTTTTCTGAACTCAAGTCACTTAGGAAGTTTTATTTTTGTATAGATGTATGTCTTTGTTATACATGTGTGCATATATGCGAATACATACATGAACATGATTTATTTAAATTTTCGGCTTGAGGCATGGTCTTGCTGTGTGGCACAGGCTACCCTGGACCTGCATAGCTCCTCAGCCTCATGAGTAGATATACTACCACACCTGGCTCTAACTGATTTTAATTAAGTGTCACTTGAAAGAGAATGGTACTGTTTGGACGTCTGTGAAGTGGGGGAGCCTGGCCTGCCACTGGTCCTCAGATTTTATGAGGAAAAAGTAATTCTGAGAGCATTGTGCAAGCATACAGCAACGAAGCAATACAGGAACACTCAACAGCCATGTGGCAGCACTAGCCTCAGAAGCTGCTTCTTCACAAAGTAAGTTGTAATGGAACAGACTATCGATTACAGAAGTGGCTGTTTCAGGAGAGATGGAGGCAGAAGCTGAAACAAGCAGAGGCTTCTTTATATTACTTAGAATTGGACCGAGAGGGGCTTAGTCTGATTTAGCCAGTACAGAAATAGCTGGGTTGAGAAGAAGAAAACAAAACAAAACAAAAGGCAGCTGATCTCAGTTAAGGCAGAAAGCACTCCCCAACTGCCAGGCTAGGAGATAGGTTGAACATGTTCGGGGCTTATGCTAATATGCATCACTCTTGGATACACAGGAAAGCTCTGTTCCTGTCTTCCTCATACCACACGGTTTCTGGAGCTTATAAACGAACAGCCTGCTGCCCTGAAATGATGCAGCTCCTCCTGGTGTAAACTTATTCCACCAACTCTGCCACTGCCAATACATTACACTAAGCACAACATCTATACTATGACACAACTTACTGCACTGGAGCTGTAATCTGCACGTGTAGCAGGGCCATTCTTAATAAGAGAAATACACAAGTGTTGCATTCAGTCATTGTCAGTGTGCTTTTCTGGTCTTTGTTGGATCCTACCCTAAGAATTCTTAACTGTTTCCTGAAGATAAACACAACAGCTAAGCATGTAACTATGTGGTTTCCATTTATCTGTGCTACTTTCAAGTAAAGGTAAGACCTCTAAAGTTGTATAGTGGGTCTATAGGATTAATTAGATTTCATTTTAAGAACAGGGAAGCCACTGTCTTTGATGGTGAGGCTTACTATGTAACGTGCAGGTTTGCTGATGTTCCCCAAAGATTAAGTCATCAGGGCCTTCAAAAATCACAATTATCTTGCTTACTGATGTCTGCCTCCAATGGGCAGGACTGTGCTTTTTCATTCCGACTTCGGCTTCTATCAGACACAGGCTCGTTGTGATAAGACAAACTTTTCTGTCCGCACTTTATCAGTCTCATTTATTCCTACCCCTTTTTTTTTCTTACGGGCCTCATGATCTGACTTTGATCCCCAGGACCCAAATGGTGGAAGGAGAGATCCAAAACCAACAGGTTATCTTCTGACTTTCATATAGTGTACAAACACACACACACACACACACACACTCTCTCTCTCTCTCTCTCACTTTCTCTCATCTCATCTATAACTCAGTTTCTCAGTCAATCCTTTGTGAGCTTTCCTGTCCTGACCTGCCTGTGACATTACTGATAAGTACTTAAAACCCATTTGTTTGCTAAATTTTAACAAAAATTGAAATAAAAAAATGCCAACTGAATCTTCAATAACTAATGCATCTTATTCAGACTTATTTTCTTCAGCTTAACTTTGTCCAAAAGAGAGGCCACCAAATACATTTGTGAAAAAGTTTCATGACCTTCTAAGATATCTTGGTGTCATATGTGAACTTCTTGAATACATTTAATCTCTAAAAATTGCATTTAATATAGTCTTTCTTATTTTTAGTAATTCTCTAATCTCGTTACTAATTTATGCATCTTCACCCAAACTATCATATGTGGGAAAAAAAAATCTCACACACACACACACACACACACACACACACACACACACACACACACGCCATGGCAAGTTACCATAGGTAGCACGCTCCCTGGCTGGATTATGAACCAGACTGTTACTTACTTCTCATTTCTCTCTATTACTTTCCCGCTCCACAAATTCATTCTTGCCCGCTTGACTATAAGCCCACTCTTGATCACCTTCTCCTCTTACCTATACGCCATATCCCTTACCCAGCCTGGAAGCTAGTGAGACTGAGAATCTTAGAAGGGGTCAAGCCTGGCCCCACACTGGGCAGTGTCTCCCAAGACCAGCTTGATGCGAAGGTGTCCAGGAGACTTGCTGGACTGACCATCAGCTCTGAATCACCCTTACTTTTATCTAGAAGCCTCTTAAGTCTCTCCACATTAGCCAAGGGCACTGTCTAGTTGTGCAGTTTTGCATGTGGTAGTGTGAGATTAGCTGTCGTTTCTTCTTAGGCGTGCCCTTGCCCAGACCTCACTGAACATGCAGGAGAATTCTGGCTTCTAGGAAGGAGGCAGCCACTGGAGAAGAGAGTACAGTGGTGTCCCTTGGTGTGGCATGCATGTCCTGGGGGATTCAACCGGGAGGAGGGGTTCTCCCCCACTTATCCTGGCTGCTCCACTTTTCAGCAGTCTGAACTGCCACACCAGATTCCTTTGGAGTGAGGAAGAATGGGAGGGAAGGATGGTAGGCTAAAACCATTTATCTGCTGTTATTTCTCTCATGGTTTGAAGTTCACTTTGAGATCAGCTTCCTGCTTTGTGCTTGGCAAGTGCCTATTTTTCTCCATAAAAATAAGACATTTCTTTTTCCTGTTTGTCTCTGATCTCCCAAATCATTTATTGATGTTAAATAAGACTAATCTTGGCAACTAAGTGCATGCACTTCCGCATGCATTTGACTGTCTCTGGTTTAATTCATTTTAAATATTTATTGGGTACGATTCTACATAAAGCACACTCTATTCACTGTCCTAAGGCAAAACTGCCTTAATATGCCATGTTGATTAAACACGGGCTTAGCTATTTCCCACAATAGCTCCTTTAAATCTAGGCCCTTTGAAGAGGAGAGAATACAATGACACACTTCAAGTCTAGATTAAAGGAAAGGACTGGCTTACAAGCGGAGGCCTCACTATAGGCTTCATTTATGTGCCCTGCCTTTTTCATTGCTAAGCCAATGCCCCTTCACCACTGCTTGAAAACCCAGGGTCTAATTAACGAGGAGATTTGCCTTCTCTGCCTATTTCTGTCAACCTTGCTTCAATTCCCAGGGTCAGTAGTTAGATTCAGAGTCAGCTGACTCCATTCTTCCATTTTCCTAGAAATCACATGCCCATTGTTAAGATGCTGGATCATTAAAAGTCAGATGCATGGAGCATCTGCGCTGCCCTGCTCTAGACGCTTTCCCTCGCAGCTCAAGGAGCTGGATGAGCTCATCCTAATTGCATGGAAAACTGAAGGTCAGTGCATCAAATTAATGCAGCAGCATATTTCAAAGGGGCGCGTGACCTCCCTTCCCTGGTACAATTTGGTCAGTGAAAATGGCTCTCTCCTCCCGCCGCCAATATTGTCAACAGGCATTCAGCAGAGAACAATCGGGAGTATTGAAACATGTAATTAAGTACTGCTTAAAACTACTCTATTCTAATTAATAGAGCCAATTTACACAATATGTAATCTTTTCAGTTCTTTAGTACAGTCCAATGGTCTTCAGTAAGCAGCTCTAATCTCCTTGGGCTCAGCAAAGGAAAGCTATTCTCCAGTTCTGCTCCCCCTTTTAAAGGCAGGGGCTGAAAGCCAACTCGTATTTTGCATGTTAACTCTAATGGCGCCAAATCCTGAGTTCTGGCAAACTGCTAGCTGTTGGGTTTCCAGCCAAAACTCAGCCGGGGACAAAACAAACGTAAGCAATATGCTGACATTGTGCAAGACAGAAACTGGGTGCCGTATGAGATTTGCTTTTTAATACCATGAGGCTAGTTGTGAAAGCTAAGGCCACTCCATCATCCCTCTACAGCCATGACTGAATAAACGACTGCCCACGAAAACATACATACCTTTGCACTTGTTTGTTGTCTTATCCAAAATTGCCTTCGTGGAAACTATTTTCCCATATCTAAAACAAAAGGGGAAAAGAAGAAGTTACGAGGAACTCTTATTCATGTCTAAGTCCAAAGAACACACATTATTTTTTTTTTAAACATCTGCAAACTTTAAAGTACAAGATGTTCTTTACTAAGGAGAAATGCAGTGAGAATTCTGAACTTTAAACTAAAAAGAGGAATGGCCAGGCTTCCCCTTTGAAGCTCTGAATTGAGTTTGATGTTTAGCTTTGACGAACAGGTAGTTTCCTGACAATCTTCAGTGGAAGAATGCACTATACACTCTAAACAAAAAAAAATAACAAAATTAAAAAAAAAAAATCCCCCCTTCTGGTAATATGACGTCTGTGGCCAACTACAAAGCCAAATACGAGGCCACAGTTCTACGACCCACACAGGTTTTATGAAATACAGACAGTGGGAGAGTTGTATTGTTCTATTCATTCCGGTTCAGTGAACAGTGTTGTGTGGCCATAGGTTGGGTGGCAGGTATATATGTATTATGCCAAAGGCTTCTATGTTCACACATATTACTAATATCACTTCTAGCTCAGTAATAACTATTTAGTTGGCAAGAGTGAGCATGTCCATGTGTATAAGGTGGACAGTTGAGACTACAAAACAAAACTGGGATTAATCATCACTTACATGATGGTGTGCATGGAAAAACGTGGTTAAATTTCAGAAACTGGGGGAGAGGAAAAATCTAGAATACTCTGATCTAGTGCACTGCTGCTAAAGAGTAAATGTAATATATATGTATATGCATATAGACAGATTCTAACCCCAGACCCTTTCAGTGCAGAACCCGAGGAAAAGCCCTGAAGCCTACATTTGCTTTCTAAAAACTCAGGAGAAAGTTTGAAAAAGGCAGTATTTAAAAATTTAAAATGAAAATAAACTTTAAAGATATGTGCAGAACCTATTTCATGACTCAGGGGCCCAAATTTCCTCACGTATACACATTAAGTTCTAAAATTCCACTTTCCTGATGGGTAATTTGCAAATTTTTAAACTTGCTCTCTTACACCTTTCTCATTCCTGACTTTTGAGGACTAAAAAACAGAATGAGTCTTATTGCTGGGAGGGAGCTGGGTGCCTGAGCACTTGTCTAGCCTGTCATAACCACACCGAGGCACTGAGGAGGTAGAGAAAAGAAACTTGGGTCTCAAGTGTGTTAGGCAATCAAAGAATTCTGCATCCCACTTCACACCACCCCGAATATTATACACTTAGACTCGTACATTGAAAGCAGCTGAAATACATTTGTCTGAAAGAGGCAAATGGCATGAGCCACCTCTCTTGTCCATTTAATTCCCCTTCTTCCACTCTGTATAATCATGTAGTCAAATGAGTTCTAACTAGGCATGAAAGTAAAGATAATTTAAGGTTCAAATGATAATTATATCCACGAGGCATAATGCAGCACAAACACCTTCAATTCCCCAAAGAAACACTGGGCATTTCTAACAACATTGCCATGGATCACTAACTCTACAAAAACAGTTGTAAAGGAGCACAAATGCTAAAAAACAAAGACAGACAGAAGGAGGACCCTCTAGCAGCCACTCACTTTCCAAGGTCCCAGGCTTCACTATTTCCAGCCACTCAGTCTTCAATGAAAGCACTTCTTAGACTCTGTCACCCTCACTTTTCCCCGAGGCAGGGGAAGCCGGCAGGACCCCAGCTTAGAGCAAGGGACTTGAGAGTCACACCACAGCTATGATGCCTGAGTTCTCAGACAGACAGCCTTCTGTCAGACACAGGGTAGGACGTGGAGGAGGTCAGGAGTTGGCACTGTCCCTCCTGCTGCCGCTTTCAACACTTCATGATGGCAAAGATGTGGAGACGGAGGGGTGGGTGAAAGAGGGTAACGGCCCCCGCCACACCTCTTGCCCTGCAGAGCTCTGCCTTCTAGGTTGCCTGTGACACTGCAGCTCACTCTGACACCTAGGGGAACCAGTACCCACAGGGCTGGCTCTCCTAACATTTCAGTGGCCCCTTTCGGGTTCCATATCCAGTCTACTTCCTTGCCTCCCTCTTTAAATTTACTATTTGACCCTTGACTCTGGCCTTATTTGGACATTTATCCAGAGATACAGCTGTAATTAATTTTTTTTATGATGCCATTTCTCTTTCCTGACTTTTCCCCCACAAATTCTGCAAGAGCTTTTGTTTGTGCCTTTACCTCTTTCTACTTATATGCCTTGACAATAAGATATCAAGTATTTAGTTAAAAATTGCCTCATGTCCATCACTTTCTAATTTCTATTCTCAAAAGCACCCCAAACACATATTCCATCTCCTCTTTATTCAAAAGCACTTTTACTCTTTTTCAGTCTTCCAACAAGCTAAGGTTACAGGAGACTGTGTCAACACAGGCATTCCTGAATGCAAGCAGTAACCCTGCTGAGTTTTGCCTTCGATGCTTCCAAAATTCCCTGCGTAGACTTATTTTAAAAGCACTGAGGAGTCCCACCACCTCTACCCATCCTTCTAAGAGGACCTCTGCTGCATACATTTAACCTCAACCACTTTACACATGCCCATCCCATACTCGTCTTGATCCCAAAGGACCTGTGCAAATCTTTTCTTCCCAGAAGCCAGCCCTAATTGTCTCATTGATTCACTGAGGAAATAATAAAGGGGATTACAGTTACCAAATTCCTACTTAGGCTCTTAGAGCTACGCCCCATACAATGATGTTACGTGTGGTGTGTTACATACGTTATGCATTTTCCTTATTTCAAAATCTACTATTATGCCCATCTTTGTAAATGGTAAAAACCAAACCAAACAAAATCATGGTTTGAGCCTAGGACTAAAGACTTTGCCTAAATTTCCAAAGTCAAAAAAAAAAAAAAAAAAAAAAACCAAAACAACAACTCATGTTATCTAAGTTTTCATTGCAACCTATCTAAGGAAGTGATTGTGAGAAGCCATTTGTCCCTCATAAGCTCAGCTAGGAAACGAGTTGGGAGGTCTAGACTGGTCTCTTCCCACTTCGGTAGTGACAGATTTTTTTTTTCCCCTCAAGGCCATGCAGTTTTTGTTTGTCTTTAGCCTGAAAAAACACATGATTGACAAGGGGGAAAAGGAACAGAAGAGGCATTTCTGAAATGTACCAGTTTTACTTTCCACTGTGGTTCATCAGCTCGTGGGCTTGGGCTGAAAGACTGTGACTTCACAGAAAGTTAGAAAGGCTTCCACTCCGCCAGCGGGGTTGCGGCCTGCTGCCTCCTGCGTACACCGAGGGGATTATCTAGAGCCACTGAAGAGTGTTAAGGGGTTTCCCCTTTCATTAAGCAGCTCCATGCTGTCAACTCAGCACAATGCACATGGTCACCATTGCCCTGAGAGCTTTGCTTGCAGTAAGACTTAATGAGGGTGATGGCAGCAGAGGGTGGTGGTGGTAAGGGGGTGTTACGGGTTTAGAACTTAATCTAAGTCTACTGCCAATCACCAGCACTCACAAGATTAACAGATGTTTGGTTACAGATTCATAAAGGAACCGAGCCTTTCAGCTTCTCTTGTTCCCATTTGAAGCTTAATTTGTTTGTTCTTTTAAATCATTAAGGAAAAGAGATGTCCACCGTACAGGGGAAAATAGAGGCTCTTGACTGGCAGAATACACACTCCAAGAACACCGAAGAGGAACACACCCAAGAACGAGAGGTGTAGGACCTTGTGGAAACCAATGTGCCCTATGTTGGTTCTTTAGGTTTTATCCAACTTCAAAGTAAGGAGGCTCAGACCACAGCCCTTGCTACCCTGATTATAACACTCTTTGCTAAGAGGAGCTAATCCACTTCAGAGGAAGCACTGGCAGAAAAAGGATAAAGAGTAATTAAGAGACGTGGCAGCAGAATAATTAGAATTTCAAAGGGAGAGTATAACAAGTCAGAATTCACATTTATACCCACTTGCTCATGGGGACACGGCTGAAGAGCTGCTTGGAAAGGGCTACAGCTTCTTTAGTTTGCAAGACAGCTTTCTCCTTTCTCCTCCATTTCTACTCATGAATAAAATTAAATATATCCTAGTTTTAATTAAAAAAATTATCTGTCTACATAGCTTTCTCCATTCAAAATTATACCTTTCTTTTTAGTTTATTTTAACCACTACAAAGGCAACATACTACTGGAATTCGAACACAGATTGTTAGGTTGACAAAATTAAAATCACCCCAAGTCCTAGACCTACATGGTGGAGGTCCATCTTTACAGGCTGTAAGTGACCTGCACGTGCAAACGTGGGCACACAACACTCTTTCCCTTCCAGGCTTTCCAATCCCTCTTCCAAGTTACGAGAGAGCTCTGAAAATGGGAGTCTACGCCAGCCACCACCGACAGATGGCGATCACGGTTGTATCTCTTACTACTGGTCCTTTCAAAAATTTAAGGTACTGGCAGTGTTTGTGCTCGACCTGGAATATATTCTGGCCATTATTAAAGCTGAAAAAGCAATGGAAAAAAAAATATATATATATACCAATAACAAGAATATGTGCTTATGTAAATAGAAAAAGAGACATTACATTTGAGAAGGCCATATACTGCTCATGAATATAGGAGGATGGCTTATGTTTACTTTAAACGCAGGTGCATTCCTTGAGAACAATAGGGAATGATGTAACTCTGTAAGTGATAACAAACTTCGAAAGACGAACAGATATCATGAAATGAGGATAAACTAAGGAAACACTGGAAGCTGGCAACATGGTTAATTCAGGTGGGAGAAAAACCCAAAGGCATACTTTATATTAACACAGCTCTTATTTTGTGCCCCAGAATGCTGAGTGACTGTCTCATAATTTAATCTTCACGACAACCTTTGAATAGGTGGCCTACGATTTCCACTTTGTTCATGTGCAACCCAGGGAGCAGAGTGAGCCTGCTTGGGGTTACACAGCTGACAGGCAGCAAGGACGCAGGGCAGGAAGTTTGCTTTGGAGTTTAAAGGCCACGCATGTTGACAATTCCAGAAACCTGGGTCACCAACCACACATAGGTTC